AAGTGCACTGTGCCCGATGTGGCGGCGCCCGCGGGCGCCCCCGGCGTCCGTGCGTCAGTACAGGCGAGCAAAGGCGAAAGTGCCGGGCTTTGCCCGCCCCCGCCGGATCCCAAGATCCAAGTCCACGCACAGGCAATGAAGACCGTGGTCTCGAGGTTGGTCGGCAGGAGGGTGGCCCGGTCGTCGGGCGAGGCCCCCGGCGGGCACAGCGCATCCAGCCGCCAGATGAAGGTTTCATCGAACTGGACATCAATCTTGCCGGTGATGTTGCCGCCGGAGCTCCGGTGCGGCAGCGGCGGCGATGTCTTGCTCCGGTGGACCGACGGCTTGGAGGTGTGATCCAGGAACGAGGGGTCCGGCAGCAGGGTCAAGTGGAAGGAGTACAGGGGGAACGGCGCGTCCGGGGCCAGCTGCGGCAGGCGGCTGGCCATGTGCACCGAGAGCTGCGTCCCGGGGCCGGGGCCGGGGCCGGGGCCGGGGCCGGGGGGGGGGGGGGGGGGGGGCGTGTGAGCGAGCGCACGACGGGGCCAGGGCCGGAGCGAGGCCCAGGAGGGAGGAGAGAAGGGAGGGAGGGGCGGGAGCGCGGCGAAAGGCCCAGGGCCCCGGGGCCACGCACCGCCAGCACACTATCGGCGTAGGTCACCGACACCAGGACCGACGGCTGCCGCGGCGGCCGGGGAAGGCGCCGAGACAGGGCATAGTCCGCTGCGATCTTGGCCCAGTCGACCTGCGGCTCGGTCGGCTGGTTGTCATTGATGAGCCGCTGCTGCTCATCATCCGTGGCCGATGGCCCGCAGAGCCCGCTCCAGCAGGCCCCCATAACCGATACACGGGAGGCGGGAGGCGTGTACGCGTGCGCGCGCGCGCGCGGGAGGGCGGAGGGCCGGGAGCGAGAGGAGGAGGGGGGAGGGGAGTAGACCGGGGGCGAGGCAAGTAGCGAGGGAGAGGGCGGCGAGGGGCAGCGCGGGGCGAAAGCGGGGAAGGAGGAGGCAAGGGGGAAGGTGTGCCGGCATGCAGCCGGTCGTCATCTGCCGAGGGGGGGTCTCTTGTGACGGGGATCTCCCCCCCCC